AAGCTAATAAATATACCAGCCAATGCTTGTATGCCGAGTACAAAGCTCTCATGTATAATCTTCGGTCCATCTTTTTTGGCATTCTCCTGCTCGCCCAGTCTGAGCCAGTGGCTTTCGAGTGCCCCAGATCTCCACTGCAGTGCAAGGATTATCCAAAGATCATCATCATTCTAGCTTTCGGAAGTGCCCTTTCATCTGCGAGATTGCTAACGCCCAATTCTAAAGTAATCATCTTTGGGCAATGAGGGATCATCCACATGGAGAGCACGTCAAGATACCCGAGTTACGAAACAGGATTCGATCATCGGATGGAAATGGAAATCACCCCCGATCGTTTGGTTCTATCACGTGATGACTCGATCCATCTCCCCCTGGCACGGAGACTATCTACTTCGTAGGTAACTAATGGCCGAAGCTCCCCATAGCTAACTTTCTATATGTTTCATCTCACATCGAGCTTTCTCAAGCTTGAGCCGCTTCGATTTCGCATCGTGAGCATTTATCATTTACGAACTTTTACCTTCCCAAGTGGATCCCGGGCCGTTACAGCCCGATTTGGTCGAGTTATTGATTTGCTGAGCAAAATCATCAAAGGCTCAGACTCCAGCAGATATGTGCGTGCATCTCACTAGTAAATACGATGATCTCAGTTGCCGAGTCCTCTACTCCGTATACTTTCTGCTATGGGAACACGAAAGGGCGCTTTGGAATGACATCGTTATGAATTCAATCTTGATCTTTGGTACCTAGGTAGGTAATTTATACTTTTCATTCCAGGTTATGATGTATACATTGAAACTATCCGACAGTTCTTGAGAAACACGGCAGCCGGCTCGCTCATGGATGGATTCTGGAATCAATGCCAAACAATCAAGAGAGATCCACCATCAGAAAATTTAATGCCTACTTCGATCCCTCTATTACTAATATCGCTCATTTCCGTTCAGCCTCACGATTTGGGTCGGGATTCACATGTTCATATCTAGCCTGATTAATCACTAGATGAACTTTTCTAATCGCCTTTGCGTTTGGGTCTTTATATCCGAAAATTCATGTCAAAGTTGGCATCCTTCTATGATGAACTCGCTGTGGTTGGTTGAGAAGATTTCTTTTTTTTTTTTCTTTCGGGGTCATAATATAATTCATCCCATTCCATACCATACCATACCAAATCATACAAGATTGATGAGAGTCTCTTCTCCTTGGCTTGGCTATATGAATACAGTAGTCTGAATAGATACTCGGCGTGGCACGGTGGTAGTCTATCGGGCGTTATTGATCTATCACATTGCCATACTTTGTCAAACTGACGTACAATTCCACAGCACGTGTTTTGTTTCCTTTCTTACTTTGGAATTATATTGGTCGAAGATGGATCCTTCTACGTACTGCATTACATCTATGTACGAAGTTTCTGTATGATATGATATGATAATGCATCATTCCGTCTTGAAACTGTCTGCCTACAGATCTGTTATTCGGGCTGTGAGGAATGAGTTGGCTTTATAGGTATACTTATTTGTATCACGAATATTTGCGAGTGCGTGTTCGGTACTTTGTCCATTCTGTCATGTGAGCATTGAGATCGAGATTGGGGATGGTTTTGGTAGTATATGGGTACCGAGTGCATTCATCAAGTACTTGGTCTACAAGGCTGAACGATCATTCGGGAAGAAATCATTACTAGTACACCGGTGGGTGTATAGACTAACAGGATACTTCTCAAATTTCGAAATTTTTAACAAATTCATTCTGTGATTGTTTGATATCAGATTCTATCTTTTCCTTATTCAATTTCTAGTGATTCATTACAATAGTTTCAAGATATAAATATCACTATTCAAAGAGAAAATCCTATATTTTTATTGTTACGATATCCTGTCAGTCCGTACACCTACTGGTCGTAAGTGCCCTTTCCTATACACATCATCACTTTACGCAGCCACTTTCTATCACTCACTCTTATACTGAGATCTATACCTGAGGATATCTATACTGTCTACGCGTTAGGATCGGATTTGAGTATATTGATTCGGTGTATACGATGTTTTGAAATCTCAGTAGGATACTAATATATTAATGTTAATGATGTTAGTACTATAGCAGTAGCTATAGATAGATTGAATGGATTATGAATTTACTATTACTATTATTACTATTATTACTATTATTACTATTATTACTATTACTACTATTACTACTATTACTACTAGTATTAAATTTAATCATTAACATTAAGATTATATACTTTATAACTAATTCATATAGCAAGTAAAGAACCGATTCATATCTATATTAGAGAAAGAAAAAGATTCTCTACATTCTTCAAATTATACAATTAGATGAGATGAGATGAAAACTCACTTTTCTATACGTGAATACAGTTTCGTTTCAAAACGTAATCATTACAAGCTTTATAAAGATTACTATTCTGGAAATGTATATTGATTATACTCGAGATGAGATTGTTTATGTGTGATTTTGGGATGGAAATTGGAGGAAATCGGTGTTTGTATATAGGGGTTGGAAAGTAGATGATTTATTTGTGTTTTGGGAATTTTTGTTTAGAGTGGGAGGGGTGAGGGTGAGGGTGAGGGTGGAGATGGAGATGGAGATAGATTATTTAATAGTTTGTGAATGGATTGTAGGTTTAAAGAAGTTGGATCTGAGAGGGCTTTGGAATAGTTTGGTGGTGGGAGGGAAGGGGAGGGAATTGGTTTGCTTGGGGGGAGGGGAAGAGGAGATGTGTATATGTGTTTGTTGATGGAATAAGGAGATGAGATGAGGAAATCAATTGAAATTATGTATAGAAAGAAGAAAAGAAGAGAGTTGATAGGAGTTCTGAGTATGCTTATTCGTTCGTTTGTAGTGAATGGTTATGAGTGTATATAGGTAGGTACCTAGTCACTATTTCTCTCTGGATTCGAGCGAATACAATGGGATAGAATCTAGATAGGTGGGTATCTAGGTGGATGAGATGAGAAGAAGTATATTCTTTCTTTCTTTATGCTTTGTTTTTTTTTTTTTTAAAAAATATGATGTGGATTTATTTATGGATCTTTCTTTTTGAGTAGTTGAGAGTTTTGATTTTACGGTAAATTACTCTTGTGTTCTAAAATTCATAATAGTTTTACACTTGTATCTCTTAGATTCTATAGTAGATTCTATATTAAATCTATCTTAGATTTATAGATTATATCTAGTTAGATTCATAGATTATATCTAGTTTATTTAAAAGAAACTCTAAAGGGAAGAAGTAATATATTTATAGAATCTAGGCTGCGCAACGGGTACCCGCGGGGTGGATAATGGCCTTGACAGATAATCCGCGAATAATCCATCTGCGGAGTAGATAGTTTAGAATTTGAATGAGTAATTTGTAAGGCGGGTATAAATTATCTACAAATATTTACTTACTCGTATATTATATAACTATTTATAATCTTTTATAATATTAATATAATTTTATAATTAATATAAAAATTAGTATAAATCTAAGCTTGGATCACTTTTAGACTGAAAAATAATTTGAGAATAGCTTTATATTTTAAACGAAAAAAGTAAAGATTCTTCACTTTTTTTGAAAAATCTATATATCCATGGATTATTTATAGATAATTTGTAAATTATTCGTAGATAATTTATATATCTATGAATAATCTATTTATCCATAGGTAGGTAGATTATTTATAGATAATCTGTAAATTATCCATACAAAACGAGTAATTTTAAAGCTTTAATAGATAATCCATAGAGTGGATTATCTATAGATAATTCACAGGTACAGATAATTTGTACGCAGCCTAATAGAATCTAATTCAAATTAAAGTAATGAGAATTTATTCTTTTAATATAGAATTTATTTTCCTTTTATAGAATCTATTCTTTTATTATAGAGTTTATTTCTTTTCTATAGAATCTATCCTTTTATTATAGAATCTACTTTTTTCTCATAGAATTTAAACTCCTTTTTATTATTGAATCTATTCTAAATATATAGAATTTAATTACTTTAGATTAGATTCTATTATAGATTTTAAGGAGTATAATAGTAATTTATTATTGATTTTAATTAAGATGTAGAATTATATAGCTATCTGTAAAGACTATTAATATTTAGGTAGGAGATAGTTTCAGTGAATTCTATTCATTTAGAAAGATTACTGAATGAGTAGGTGAGCATGAACGAATGAATGAAGGTTTATTCTTTCATTAAACTTTGTTTATTTGTTTATTTGTTTAAAATCTTAGAGTTTTGGAGAGTTGTAATGGTCTCTTTTTTTCTTTTAGTAGTTAGAGTTTGAGGTTGAGATGTATATTTGTATGATTATGAATGTTGTTTGTTATTTGTTGTTAATGGAATTGGTATTTCCTAGATGGATCGGGGTAGGAGAAGGGATTCCTCTAGTACTTGTGTATAGATAGGCTCAGTGTGATCGATGTGTATACATCACACTTCAATCACTTTTCAATATTCAATTGATATTTGTGGAATCAATGTTCTTTCGAAAGATAAGATTAAAGTATTTGAATGATTATGGTTGACATATATTTTAAATTTTGTTGTGTTAAAGTAGGAACTTATGATTGTTGTTTAATATTTCAGAAGAAGTGATTTTGAAGAATCTTTGAGTTCGGTTGTTGGGTGGGTACAGCGAGGTAGGTAAAGGGGTAGATGTAGAATATGAGTATATCAGATTCATGATATGGAGAGTAAATACAAAGTACTCATGAATAGAATATCAAATTTACATTATAAAGAGAAAGGTAAAGTACTTTAGATTTTCACATAATTACAAAAAATCACACCCCGAAAAATGCACATCATTATTCGCCGCAATCTCAATCTCATTCATAATCGTACTTCCATCATCTCTCGCTCCTCTCACATAAATATGTTTAATAAACAACACCGTGCACGTCTTCGGCTTCACATCAAACGTCTGCGTCACCTCATTTTCGATAAAATCGGTAAAGGAACTGCTCGTGCTAGAGGTGAATTAGTAGTTGAGTGTGATGCTCCACTCGGCGAGTTTGAAGCCGCCAGACGCAGATACTTCGATACCGACGCTGTGCGTCATTTCTTGTGTTTGGGTTTTGGAAACACCGTATTTGATGCGTTGTTCGCGGGTGTAGGTACTAGACGACTTGTTTTCCCACACGCCTTCGACAACGTAGGCTGCGAGTCGAGAGACTTGGACGAAGGGGTTGCGGATGCCTTGGATGCTGCGTGTGCCTTCGGGATTGAAGTAGGCGGTGAAAGGAAGACTGACGCTGGCTTGCTCGAGGAGACTATATTTGTCTCCAACGTTGGGAATGGTGGTGGGTGTTATGTTGGGCACGGCGGCCTCGAATGATGCGTATGCTTTGCGGAGGGTAAGTTGGGGTACGTAGGCGAGACTGAGGTTGGGGAGGGAGTAGCTCATATTGGCGCGGAATGTATCGGCGAAGATGGGGATGCTAGTGGTTTGAGTAAGCTATTGCTTTTTCTTCTTCCTCTTCCCTTTCTTTTTTTCAACCAAAAATATCCAATTTTGAGGAGGCATAACTGTGGATAAGATCGCGGAGAGAAGTGCATATACAATTCATCCCAACACAAATGAAATAGAAGTGCAGAAAGAGCATACGCACTTCTCAGAACCAGTAATTCCAACAGTATCTGGAATAACACTCCAGATGGAAATATCGGTCGGACGACCCGAACCTCGATCATCCCACAAATCGCTTCCGCTATAAGCATCCGCTCTATTCAAATCGGCCCGCAAACACCATATCATATTGGTGCTTGGCTTATTGAGACTGTTGATGGCGACATCGTCACATGCGACTTAGCCGGACGGAGCAATACTATAGATAAAATGAGTTAAAGATAACTCGTTAGATTCCTTGGACGAAGCGAAGCAGATTAGTACTGCTGTGTTATGATTGGTTTCTATGCATGCATACTTGCATGCATCTATTCATCTATCCATCTATCCCTTATGAAACATAGCGAGATACTACTCACGGCCGCCACACCGAAACTGTATGCGTACCAAAAATCGAAAGCTGGGTCCATATAGGATTGCGCTCATAATCCGTAGGTCTCGCAACCGCGGGGCGCGCACTCGTTGCGTTGGGATCATTTCCCACGAGTAGCACGGCGCGCCAGTTGGTGGCGGAGTAGTTGCGTTTTCCGACGCACACGGAGCCGAGGGGGTAGAGGGAGCCTTGTGGTTGGGGATTCCAGAGGCAGCAGCTACGGGAGGAACCGTATTTGTTGTTGTCCCAGACCCATTGGAGAGAGGTGGTGAGGGTCACGCGGAGGTCACCGTAGTCGCGGGTTCGGTTGGTCATTTCTTTTTGGGGGGGAGGGGAATTAATGGATGGATAAAATCGGGGTTGGGAGTTGAAGGATCAAAGAAGATGATGAAGAGAAGATTTAAGAGAGAAAGATGAGGTGCTATACTGATGTGACTGGTGAAGTTCCTTTCAGAATAACTTGTTACATACAACCAGAAAATTTTCAATAGAGAAAGAAGTTATTAACAGGAAAGAGGAAGCAAATATATAGCAGGATGAACAAGCCTCAATCGGAGAAAACACAACCACTCATACGAGACACCACAGTATATAAATATCTATCTGTCCGCATTTGCCCAGATTCCAAATCATCATCATTCGAGATAACATAAACATAGTATTTCCCCTCTCTCATGCCTTTTCTCCTCTCAGCTAGCCACATATACCGATCTCTGTCTTTCCTATCGAATAAACAATCACTCCCCAAAAACATAACATACGCATCTCGCCAAAAAGCTCCTCTCGCTCGCCAAGCTAGTCGCCAATGTGCCCAAACCTGCACATTACAGTAATACAATAGTAAATTGTAATCGCAACCATCATCCCCATATCATTTTTCTTCTCCATATTCATCTTCAGCTAGCCACATTGGAGCATTTCCCAGACTTGACTTCTCTGTACACAACACAACATATGTATATAGCCAGAAAGAAAGATCTCGTCTGTCGAGTTGTCGCATTGTCGCGTTGTCCAGTTGTCAAGCTAAGGTGCCAAGGGACTTGATGTTGAAGGTGCAGTAGACGCTTGGTATGTATACCTATACCCCGCATCAATCGGTTTCGAATTCAATTTTGTATTATATTTGTGTAATATGATATCAACGAGGATAGCAGCTATGCTAATACATATAAGCCACATCGAATTCAGTTGCTAGGTAAGGCTTAAACATACAATGGTATAATAGGGTATAGTATCAACGAACAAATCCATTTGTGGAACGTGAAGAAGCGGGGAATTTGGATGAAGAAGAGAAGTTTGAAATACATGGCATATGTACGATATTTCGGGACCGATCTACATACATATACGAGGGGTGGTTACACGCGGGAAGATGGTGGAATGGTTTGAGTGCGGGACTTGGCATTTCTTTAACTTGAAGCGAGGGAGTGGTAGTTGGTATGTGGAATGAGGCGGGGAATGTAATGTGTGTGGTTTGGAAGTGGGGAGTTGTTTTACCTGGGGAGTTGAGAGAAATTAGCTGTGATCGCGGAGAAGTGTGTGAGGGAGCGAGTATTATTGGATTTCTGGAAGAGATTGGGGTTCAGGGTAGTAAGAGGATTTCTCAAGAAACAATTAGATCTTGTTTTGATTTCAGATGGGGTACTCTGTGAAAATTCTAGCATATAGCATATACCGAAATAAACGACTCTCGCCGTGCTCAGCTAAGTAGCTACTTGAAGAGGTAGTCATGAGTTTACACTTCCTTGTCTCTTGTCTGTCGTTCCTATGCAGAAGACTTAAATGCAAGGTTTCAATGCGATGAATATACTGTGTATGTCTTCATAGAACCTTGCCTTTCATCTAAATTTTGTGGAGGAGAAAAATACCGAAACAAGATGACATCTTTTAGGTAGGAAGATATTGTTCCTTGCCGAAAGCGATAGGTGCGGGATTTTGAGAATGACATATTTACCTTCAGATTACATGAACAGCTATAATACTTCTAGATATTAAAATTTGAAAGAAAATTCATTATGTTAGTCAAAGACATGAGAGAAATTTCTTTCCTTGTATCATCTCTAAGATCTACTCATTCATTCCCTCACTACAAAATCTCGAAGTCACCCACAGTGTAGGTAATAGTATACTATAATAAAACAATAACGTACATAAAGCTTTTAATACAACAGATAGTATATATTAAAGAAATATAAACTCATTACTATACATATCACTTAAACGAATATATATAAAGATATACAATAAAACTAAAATATAAAAACCTAAAAATAAAATAATAATATCAAAAATCAAAACTAATTCTAATAAAACTAAAATAAATAAAAAATACTATTCAAAAAAGTAAGTCCTACCTTTTATTCATTTAAACTCTTGAATTCTATATTATCTTTTATCTATAAATCCAAATCTAACTATGATTTAGAGTATTCTATTCTTTCAATAATTATAGTTTAAAGCTTATTATATTTATAATAATAATAATCTTTATAAAAAAGAATAAGTATTTAACAAAAACAAATATATTAGAAATATTAAATAAATTAAATATCATTTTATAAAGATTCAATAAATTCGATTTAAATAAAAGTCTTATTAAAAAATAAAAATTGATTAAATTAAGAGTGTTATATATAAAGAATAGAATTAATAGAATTTAAAATATCAAAGATATAAATAAAAGATATTTTAAAAAATTAAAAATAAGATAAAAAACTAAATGAAGATTTATATAGAATCAAAGGATTGTATATTATTAAATAATAAAAGATTTAATAAAATCATTATTTCATTAATCATTTTTAGAACTCTCAAAAAATTTAAATTTATAAAAATAATATAATAATATTAATGTTCATATTCAAAAATATCAAAAAGATTAAAATATTCAATAATATTAATAATTTATTATCAATTAATAATAATTCAATTGAATATAGAATTTAATATTAATAAATTCTAAGAATATTCTCAAATTCATATATTTCAGCTTATTTTATATTAATCAGAGATCCGTATTCTCATATCTTATTAGTAATATTCAATATTAAAATAATATTGAATATCTTTAGTGATATTGAATTCTATATTATATATATATATTTCGAAAACAATCAATACGTATCGTTAAACTAACCTGTATACGAATCACGGAAAATACTATTGCCTACACTGGTCACTCAGAACCAGCCTGGAAATTCCCTCAGGATTATGTGCACTTCTACTTACCTACCACTTGCAAACTTCTCTTCATTTCATTTTCATTTCCATGCTCATCAATCGAACTCTAACATTCTGTTTAAGGATCAATATGCTTAGGTAGGTGTAGCGATTAAACAATGCTGCACTCCTACTTATTCATTCAATCTACTCAATCAACTCATCTACTTCACCGTTTCATCTACTTTCCCATTTCGTCTACTTCTCAACTCATCTACTTCTTTATTTCATCTCTTCCCTATTTCATCTCCTTCCCATTTCATCTCCTCCCCTTCCATCCACAAACTCCATCATCCACCACATCTTCCCCTTCCCATAAACATATCAAAGCACAATACCATGCAAAGCACCAACCAAACCTGAGAATTTGCAAGACCACTAACATTGAGTTTCCTATTATCACCGCTGATGCCATGGTGATACAATCTATATTCCCACAGATACCAGCCAGTATATAAGCGTCCAATACATGCATACCTTTTATATGCTCCATAGAAGCAGTTTTTCTCTCAAAACTGTTCTTCATTTATCGATGAATGGTATGGATAGCCCATCCTTCTCTTAAATTCACAAAGATGTAAGAGATTTTATATATGAAGTATCAAATAACATTATAAATCTATATAATTTGTTTCCGGAATTCCTTGTAATAATAAAGTTAATATTACAAACAAAGAGATATTCAGTATAAATCTCCACATAAATTTCTCTTTCGTTATTAACAAAACGCTGATTTTATTAGTAACAAATATTATCGGTATAAAATGCAACCTATTTATTATTGAATTTCAATAGAAAAAAAAAATAAGGATCCTTAAAGGCCTTTAAGATTCTAAGATCTTTGATTATTAGAGTTGTAAGAAAAGTAAACAAAAGAATATGTATATAAAGATTAAAAAAAGGCTATAAAGATAAATAAGAGCTAAGGAAAAGAAGGAAGAAAGTAAGTATAAGGGCTAGAATGAATAAAAGATATTAACCGAAAGTCTAAAGGAGAATCTGTTCATTAATCACAATACTTCACCTTTTTTATTCTTTAATCAAAAGCTTTACCACTATACTATATAACACAGAATGTATTAGATAAATAATCTGACTTTAATACAAATAGATATAAAATCAATTATTCAATATTTTGATTCGAAATTGAAGTAATCTTTTGAAATATATATATATTTTAATAATGAAAAAGATTTATAATAATTACTTAATCTAATTATCTAATATTTAATATATTAATCATTTGTTATTAATATAAGTCTCTATTCTATTCTTTATATTAGCTCCTAATTTTATAGATAAATCATTATTTAATATATTTCAAACTACTTATAATATACTCTCTAGTTTTTATCTAGTATATTTCAACTTACTGTTATTCTATATAATATTAAGAAACATCTTGAAAACATATACTTTTAAGTGCTATTAGATATACTCTATAGAATTAAGATTAGGATTATAAGAAGGCCAAAAATCAATTAAAGAAATGCCTCTAATTCTAAATCAATCTAATACCTTAATAACCCAATATATAAGAACATTATTCTATATAAATTGATACTTCTTATTTAAACCCTCTTAAATAAAAGCTAATTCTTTATTAAGGATCTTAACATAAGAGTCAATGTTATACTTAAGCTTTTTACTTTCGAAATTCTTATTCATAATATAAAGCTTATTCCTTTGAATATTACAAAAGTCTTTCTAGATTATAATCTTTATATTCTTATTTATAGAATAAATTTGAATCAATTCTTATTCTTATTTCTATTTAGAAAAGTAGAAAACCTATTCTTGATTTTTCCTTCTTCTTTATTTTACAAAGTATTTATTCAATTAGAAAATTAGTTCTTATTCTTTTATTATTTATTCTTTATAATTTAAATATTAAATTAGTCTTTTAATAATATGTTCTTTTATAAGTTCAGATCTCTTTCTAACTCTTTAATTAGCTATAATATACTTAGTCAAAATCTATTTAAAAATAATCCTTTTATAATTAAGAGTATATATTTTAATAATCTCTTTATAGATCGATTTCGAAAAAAGTTATATATATTTTAATATAATATATTCATGTCGATCTATATATAACTTTCTTCAAGGCTTTTTAACTATAATTTTTCTATCAATATATATTAAATCTTTTAAAATATAATATCGAATCATTTTATAAAAGATTTCAAGGTTGATTATAATATCAATAGGTTTAATACCCTTAAAGGCTTTTCTTATAATTCTATTATAATTATATAGGCTTAAATTCATCCTAGATATATTATTATAATTGATTGATTTTATTAGAGTACATTATAATGATATATTTAATAAATTAAAATAAGAATGTTAAAGGAGAATACATATTTTTTTTTAAAAAAAGTACGTTTCGGCTGATAGCAGTTGGCACACGCTGTAGATATCTGAACCAGCTAACTTCTAGAATCTCATAATCGTATCTCCATTTTCTATCCTAGGTTAATAAATATTCAAATATGTGATTTTTAAATTATCTATAGGTAATCTCTTCCGACGCCCCGCATGGATCCCACAAGATATTCCAACTCTGCATCGATATGTATCTATTCAATCTAGCCAATGATATACACACGAATCATTCCATCCCATTCTATCCTATTTCATGTTCCCTACCCCCATATTCCCTCCACCCCTCATATATAAAGAAAAACTCCCTCACCACCCACAAAGACCCACCAATCTCTTCGCATCTTTACACCATGTTAAATTTTTTAGGGATTATCATATCGAAGCTTTCGATATATTAACCTCCTATTTATTGGGTTGTCTAGAGAATAGATGTAGGTAGATTGAATCAAGAACCACGAAGACATAACTCCAATTACGGGATCAAGGAAAAAGTCTCTTTTCAAGATGTAAACGAAGGGTGAGAAACAAGAGCAAAAGTGAAATGGATCATTGGCATACAAGAAATGAAATAATATTTCTCCAACATTGAAAGAATCTGGCCGTCTGATATATAACCCATCAATTCTTCGTCTCGAATCCTCTAGGTCGATTACTGGATTAGACCATCAGTATGGCCTTTGATATATTTCTAAGCTGACCGGCGAGAATCCTTGAATCGTAACTTTATACTCGGTAGCCAAGTAGAGATTTGAGAACAAATACTGGCTCGGTAGGTTGGGTGATATCTAGCCTTATAACCGGCCCGAGTTAACTGCTATGTGTCCTGAATGGGAAAGCAGTGGGATTTATTGATCGAATCGTCTGGATGCGATTCCACCCCCAGCATAATGCTGCAAATTTCTTGCAGTGCCTAGATAGCCTTAGAAACCATGGTCAATATTTGTGGCAGCTTGAACGGTGGCCTCTGTCTCATATCTCCATAATATTGTGATCCATGAGGTGAAAGGTGAGCAAGTGCTCGCTTTGTCATGATTCGTTTCCAGATTCGAATTATCTGTTCCTCCTTCATCGCAGTTATTATCACTCATAGTTTGAGCACCTTCTGTTACATCCTCATCCGTCTCAATATCAGAACCTTCAGACATACCCCCGTCGGTAGACCTATTAGAAAATATTTTCCGGTCGTATTCATATATTCTAGCTCCCCCAGCTACAAGAAGCTCTTCAATCAAGTGATCATTCTCGTTACTATCCTCACCGGAATCAGATGGTATACCAGGATCTTTCAAACCCGCAACTACAATTTTCAGAGGAGTATAATAAGCGAGAGATGTGATATCGAATGGATCAATAACACAATAATTTACATCTGCTGCCCATTCTATCAATAAAGCTATAGCAGCTCTCCATCTTCTGTACACTGCTTCTTGAAGAAGACCTTTGATTGTATGTTTTCGATCGAAAGTCGGCCACGAATTAACGAAAGTTGGAAGTTTGGGGGGGGGGGGTTATAAGGGTGACCAGGATGCATACCAAAGTCGAGGAGTAGTTTCAAAGACACCGCGTCTCTTCTCATAACACTTCGTAAATGATGTATTGAAATATATTTGTTTCGAACAGATTGAGCGTTGCCGCTCGCTCTACAAGGAATCGAAGTTTCGCTTCCTTATCACGTTGTGCAAAAGCCGCCAGGACTAGAAGGAGATGGTACTCATCAGGGCAATGAAACCCTTGCATATAATCCAAGAGAAGTTGGAATCTTGTCGTTGAGTCCATGCTTATTGCAACAGCAAACAGAATACCTTCGATTCCAGAGGGAAAGCTTCCGAGCTTCATGGGCCATTCCGACGGTATTTCGAGTTTACTCCTGACAACCCATGCCAACGGTTCCCGGACAGGATGTAATAGCGCATAAGAGAAAGGCTTCCACCGTAAACGAACATCGTCTGTGAGTATTGAACCGCAGTTATCTGTGATCGGCTGTAGAAAATCGAGGATATTGCAGGTGTCATACCTGGGAACTTTCCCACCACTCTTATGATTTCTATGAGAACTATCCGTAAAAAAATACCACCTTTTCTCGTCGCAAGCCTCAGGACAGTTTGAAACCTGTCATACTTTGTCGATGTGCCTCTAGGGATATTGAAGCAGTGGCGTACATGTGCCACGTCCTCAAAATGAATAGCAACGGAAAAAGGAGGGCATTCTCCAAGTTCCAGAGGCACATCAACAACCACATTGTATTCATCGACGAGGAATCTTTCCACGTGTTCCAGCCCGAAGAAACTTGCGTAATAGATCGTTGTACCAAGATCGTTCCCATACTGACATTTGACATCTGGATCTTCGAGACCAGGATAATCTCCATAGCCTCGATGGCCAAACCAGGCCTCCCTCCAATGGTACGAGTCCAGAAATTGGACAATATATCTCGCTGTTTCCATGTTGGCTTGATATGAACAACTTCTCGCATGAGGTAGCCAGTTGTTGGATGGGTACTTCCAAATAAATTCATGGATGTTCTGTGCAGCGAGCCAATTGATGTAATTCAGGCAGCATTCAAGAGCAAATAGATGTAGAGAGGGTTCAGCAAAGTCATTCATATATGTAACATTCAAATAAGTTGATGTTAGATACTCGCGAACTGAGAAGTGAGACAATTGTACATATTGTTTGTCAGGGATAGGGGGTTCGCAATAGTAATAATACACTCATGGTTCACTATATTCGGCATTAAGGGTAACCAGACTCCCTATAATTTCAAGAACTTCGTCTGAATTCCTAAATCGATTATCAATATTGAATGTAAATTTCGAGTCGATTCCTGCCGCTACAGCTTCAGCTAATTTATCGACCGTAAGTTTTATCGCGATAAATTACCTGCCATTTTAGTGCAGCTACGACTATGTCTGTATAATCTTCATGGATATTGGAAAGCATTCTTTCGTATGTAGCATGTAGATTTCGAGGCAGGCTCTTTAGAGTCTGTCGTAACATAGCTGGAGTGGGGCACCTTTTCAGGGCATCGAGCTGACGGGTCACCCACAGGAACTTATCACAAAGTAAGATTCTCGAACAGATAGGATTGTCTAGGGGATAAAAACTCACATTCCATTAGCACTGTCTCCCAATGTCATTGCTATCTCAGTCTTAATCTCAGATGACCACTTTCTTAATTTTGTGTCGTTTTCCAACTGCGTTTTGACGTGTTGGCGTGTGTCCAAGTTGACATTTTCATTTCTGATAAGAACCGTTGAGAGTTTGGGTATCTCGTCTATAATTTCTGTAATGTCCGCTTCCTTCCGACTGGTCATAACTAGATGTGAACTTCTGTAGGCCCATGAGGATACCTCTCGTGGCAATTCACAGACAACCTGTCGATTGACTTGTTCGTAACCTCTAGGACATTCGTCCACTGCGTCTAGGATTAGGCAAAAGGTTCCAGGCATAGCCAATACGGCTTTAAGCATGGCTTTAAGTGTCGCTAGTTGCGAAACGGTGGATTGAGTGTCTTTACAGATGGCTACAGCATCATCGAGCGCGGTGTCATATTTGACGAGGAGTTGCATGAGGATCGAGCGCAGTAGGTTATTGGCATTTTGTTTATCGGTTTCATTGAAAGAGAAGTAGTAATATGCGATAAAACAGTCAGAATTGTTGACACAATAATCGGTCATATCTTGAACAACAGTTGAGCTGTATATCTATTAGCACGCGAGCATAAGTTTCTTAATGTTGACGGAGGGCTGCCCGCACCACAGAATTGTTTTACCGCAGCCTGATAGACCATGAATCCAAAGAAAAGAATTATCGCTCGTCTTCTAACTGCGGTGTTCATTGCTTTGGAGAAACCATGACCCGGTGCTAGGTTCAAAGCGTCTTCGGGCCAAGTCGTGGTCTGTTTTCGGGTCTGCGGTCGACAACCACTGGAGAAATTTCCTTTTCTTAGATTCTGTTGTCACTGATCAGTAATTTCTAGGAGTTATGTACAGATTGTTTACTTCGGTCTTTTGTCTTTTCACTAGATTCGAAATCCAGAATTTGCTGAGTGATTGTGCATTTTATATCTTGCATGCTATCCTTGACGTCTCGAGTATGCTGGACGATATTGGTATGACTTGTATTGGTGCTCTGATTGTGAAGACTGATATCATGTCTAATGTCGCGAGCATCGTTTTTAAGGTCTCGGATATGGTCTCCTATTCTCTGCGCATTTTTCTTGATATCTCGAGTGTCGCATAGAGCCTACTGGGCGTACTTCTCGACTGCTGCAATGAGTTGTCTGTAGTAAGACTTAGCACAGTTTCCAACAGGAAATTTAGACCGCTTACAGTTGATCAGACTGGATTGCAATGTCAAACTGTTCCCTGATATTGTCAAACCTTGACAAACATTTGTTAATTCTCTAGTCCCAAGAACTCACTCTAACCCATCGATTAAACAAGTTCTTTTCCTCTAATCTTTGTTAGACTTCATTGATAATTTCCTGACATTCTTTACAGAGCTGTTGAGCTTGTTCAACGAGGCAGAATCGCCCCTTCACTTTCATCAATCGCAGCTATATTATTCAAACCTTGATATGAGGCAAGGAACCTCCGCAATGTCTTTAGCATACGTTCTAGATCAGTTCGAGTATGTTTAGACAGTCCAACTTTTTTAGACAGAGCTTAGGCTAATTGAGTACAAGCAATGATGCTGGCTGTGAGCCCGAGAACGCTGACTGGGTTCATGTTGGCGGACCGCCTTTTGAGCCTTGTTGGGGATCAGAGAACGAGGTATCATCAATAGCTAAACAATACTTATTGCACAAGATCCAAAGTGTCTGCAAACAGCAGTATCGGTTTTCAACACAATCGCAGACGCTGATCGAAGAATCAAAAACGAGAATGAGAAGGGCAGTTCCTGGAAATCTTGTTTCCGACAAAGGTTGGCGAAAGGTAAGATAAGATGTAAGATAGCCTGGATTTTTTGCATACTTTATCGATAGGTTACATGAGCATAGTCTCACGAACTATGTTGTGTAACTAGTTGAGCCACCACACTCTGGATAGACACTTCTAACGAAGCAGCCAAACTACTATGGCTAATTGACCCATACTCTCAACTTATAAACCCAAAAGATCGCAGAGTGTACTCATTAATTGTAACCTAGACTAAGAATTTGCAACAGCTCGGCTTGAGTTAACGAGACAAGATGAGTTCCGAACAAAACAGGGCATAGCAACGTGTGTACTCTTCCATCATCTTGGCAATGATGTTGTTACAAAAACGACTCCCAACAGTAGTTTCCTCTTTTCTCTTGATGAAAGGTCGAACCACCCCAAGATCAATTAGCTTGAGAGGGAGAAGGTTCAAATTGAAAAAGGTCGTAAATTATAGTAGAATCATTCCTGACCAAAGCAAGAGCGGGGTGAATTTTGAAATGACAAGTAGAGAATGGTATGACAGTCGTTCAGTAAAACCTTCATTGACATGACATGAACGTATTTAACGACCCAGGCATCGGAGTTGACGAGCAGACTCTCAAAGCTCCTGGAATGACAGCATGAGATGATTCTGGTTTCTTGCTAGAACTTTCTCCCATGCAACCAAAGCTAATGAGGTTGTTTTGTGCATCCTGAGCATCCCCAGAATTATCCACGTGAACACTTTTTGACTTTCTCCAATATATAGATTTGTTTTGTCCCCAGAATGGCCAGGCTTGCAGAGACGTGAGACCCCATGATAGTGCCCAGCTTCAGCGTTCATCAACGTGGTCAGTTGAGGGGATTACCGCAAATTTAGATAGGATTTTGCCAACATATATTTGGATGTTGCTGGCCGCTGTGATAACTGGCATATTAGTCAATGAAAACACTCACGTGTAGGTCCAGCATGATGATAGCAAAGTAAACAACGATTCATTTGGTGATGTCAACATGCCTCGGTTTAATTATCAAACAGAAGCTCCCTCTGAGTTGTTTTCACAGCAAAGACAGATACGTCAGTGATGAAGTCTCTCCAAGAACGGGTCTCTAGAGTACTCCACCGCCACGCCGAGCAAGGTACGACGACGTGTTTTATGGACCTTTCGGGTATCTCTCCGACATCGTGCAGCGCTTGCGGCTCGGTCAACAAACAGTGGTACCGCACACTGGGTAACATGATGGTGGCAGTGAGATATATTACCACGAACGGGGACGGATCTTAACACGGTGAGTAAAGTACAGATGGCTGTGGATAGCAAAACGAATACGTGCAGATGAAGCTATGGTATGGGGATAGCCCTAGCTTGTATTGCATATTCAAACCGGACCACCCTTTGAAAAGGGCGGGGTTGGGGTTGCAAGCTGCTACGCCGCTGTTTCCCTATTGATGAAGAAAGACGGAAAGAAAGGGAAATTGAGGAGGGAACAAGAGTGCATTTCATCCGTGATACTAATGCAGACCTGCACTGCCTTCTTGCAATTGCCGGACAAGACGACGACTTATGCAGACTTTCCTGCCACCTCCTGAGTCTTGAAGTTTTCGGTACGTGTCGATTGATGGCAGAGCAGACGAAGAAAAGAATGGCTGGAGATTACGCTCGGCCGCAAGAGAAGAAAAAGAATGAAATGAATATTTTCAGCAGTTCCACTTTGATAACTCCCGCCGGCTGGCTCACCGAAAAAACATCAAAGGTTTCTCAACCTTTGCCAAGACTTTGCGGAGAGTTGAGGTAACATTTGGCGCTAATGGACAGACTAATCATCTACTAATCTCGGACGGGAGTCGGAAGCGGCGCAGGTGTGACTCTGTGTGAGAGAGTCTTGGGAAAAAAAGGCTGGGAAATTAAAATGAGTTCGAACAAGGGTCGAGAAACCTTAACAGGGTTTGCTGTAGCAACCAATAGGATTAGCGTCTGATATCAACGGAAAGGCCCCTTGACTAATATTTGAAGCTTGGATAGTGTGAAGCTGAAGGGTGTGTGAAGTGTGAACGGTAAAAGGCAGTCAGTGTCACTGAAGTGTGAGGGAAAAAACAAGAGGAGAACCGAGGTGCAAAGACAAGCAAGTGAAGAAAGCTTTTTTCATGATCAACCAGATCACCACATGAAACCGATTGCGTGTTTTCTCTTCTTATCAATTCGTATCGGTGGTTTTCGACATGACATGCACTTGAAAGCTGACAAGTGTCGCTACCTTCATATCATTAATTGAACCTATCACAATTGCATTGATGGAGTTATGAAGCTTTAGATTTACACAATGTTCCTGCTGCAGAGTACTGATGATGCTTGATTCGATTTCTCTTCCATGTGAAGCTCGGGTAGAGCTATGCTGAGCTTACAAGTTCCCAGTGACACTCCTTCATCGATCTTATCCTATCATCCAATGAATGCGTTCCACGATACGAGTCAACGTCAGGGGTCGTCTCTTAAATGTGAGGAGCTGAAGCGTAAGGAAATTGAATTTATTTCTTACAGCGTCCAAACTTGCACTTGTCTATATTGGACATGGCCTATGGAAGACGGCCAATGGTGAGGCCCGTGAGGGAGCATGGATTGATTGTCGTTGGTTCTCATTTGTACTTCGTAGAGATTCGAAAGGATATCCAACCGGAGCATGTCTTCTATCGGAAACTCACACACGAAAGTAGAAAGTAAAATGTTGCGATGGCTGGGGGGGGGGAGGGGGCCGAGAACACATGAACACGAAGATCCACTGATGCTTCATACCAGATCGAGAAGGAAAGTGGAGTCAAGGAATAGTGGAGGTGGAGAGCTGTCCATATGGAAGGACAAGAGAAGATGAAGATGAAGACGAGGAGGCCGAATACAACCGAACCATCCAAATTTCATGTGAAGCCTTGGACTTGGAGATCTAGTTCGACGCCACAAATATAGATAAAATTGCCGATGGCATGCTTGGAGGATAATATTGCCCAGGACCGCTGAAACTTAAAGTCAATAGTCGGGGATAGATCCATCAGTAGCGTACGATGGACAGAGTAGCATCGAGGTAGTTTAATGGTTTGTTTACATCGCATCCTATTTGGGCTATAATTTGGTCGATATTGATTGATGTTTTGACACTCTGGGGTAGCGAAGCTTGAGGTACCTTGTTATGGCGTACCACGAGAGAAGGTTAATAAACGAGGGAAAGGAAAGAAAGGGAAAGGGAAAGGGAAGGGAAGGGAAAGGGAAAGGCAAGGGAAAGGGAAAGGGCAAAAAGGAAATTAAAGTTACCTAGTCACATGTGTTCGAAGCACACTTCACTCAGTTTCATCATTCAATAGATGGGAATCATTGGATTGACATTACTAGGGAGGCAGTCTGTACAACGATGGTGATTTGGTCATGTCTTATTTCCGTCTTCTCATCCATCGCCAATATGTCACTCCCATCACCCTTCCTATTCATCATCCATCCATCATCCGTCCATCATCCACCTTGCCATCCACCTTGCCTATCACCTTGCCTATCACCTTGCCTATCACCTTGTCCATCCACTCCCCCCATCAATCATAAAAGCAGACCGTCTTCCCTACCACTTTGCATCACTTTCCGCACTGCATTGTAACTCGGCTTCTGCTTCCTACAAGATGGTAATTCTTGGGTAATTACTTGATTCAGTTAGTCACAAATAATATCATATTCCAATTAATAAGTTATCCCAACATCAAAACAAAGTGAATGTAAACAAACAAATAATACGGCCCAGGCATACCTAATAAAAAAAATCACAATGGCTGTAGGTATAATTTAAAATTGAATGACCCTGCTGGCTGCTTGGATGGAAAAAATTGAGTATCCAACCACCTTGATTTCTCTAAACTTGCTCCCACGCACCACCCTTCATTCAATTCACCCTTCGCAAATCTCTCTCCACCATCTTCTTTCCCTCTTTCACTCCTCCCACATCCCACCCCACATCAACACAAATACAACCTCAAAATCGCATCCCCAATCAAATTTTGTACACACACCACACTCTTCATACCTACCTACCACCTACCTACTTACCTACCTACTTACCTACCTACCTACATTCTCCATTCTCCATTGCACTTTCGCAACAACGATATACTCTTGCTATCCTTTGTTCATCTGGAAAGACCTCGAAATATTTTTTGAATTCTGAAAGACGAGTCAAGAAACGTTACCCGTAAACGTTTTCTTCCCTCTTCCTTCTACCTCAAGAAGTAGAGATCCTTCTTGTGATATCCTTTCGGTACGCTGAAAGGTATTCGAGAAGTGTTCTCGCATTGAAAGGTCGTCAACCTGGACTTTGACGCACGAGTACCGATCCCCTTCAGCATCTTCCCGTCGTCGTATAGAAGCGACGTCGCTGCCCAACCCATTCATACCACCGAGACTCACGTCGAAGGTGAAATAACTCTACCACATCATCACGAGCGCGTCGGACGGGAAGGTCAAGAAGAGGACGCTCAATCTCTTTACTCTCAACACCAGCACCAACATCAACACGAACACGAACAACAACACCACCTTTCTCCCCCTCCTCCTCAACGACAAGAGTATATAGAGGAAGAGGTTCACATCACCCGTGAAGAAGACCGCCGTTCTGAATACCGTCCGAGCAGCCGAAAAGAGGAAGAAGTTTATATTCGTGAAGAACGCAGGTTAGTAACTAAAAGCAAAAAAAAAAAACACTCTCTCCATTTCTTTTACAGTTTCATAAACTCTTTTCTACAAAATCCACTATCCATCAAAAATTACATCAAAAACAAACGAGACACAAATCATCATACCAGACCGACCAGCTGGAGCAAGAATAACATCCACAATACTTCCCCCCCCTTTCACCTCCATTTTCACCTCTTTTGGCCCTTTTCCCAAGTCTTGCACCAATTCCCATTTTTTCTTTTCTTTTCTCGTTATACAGCATTAATAAAAAAAGATCTGGCCATATCGGAAGAAGCAGTACCCAATTAACAATTAATTGGGTCCCTTCTGAGACAAATTTGCCAGCTTTCTTGTTTTTTATTATTACGACGCACAGTCCAACGATCTTCGGTTTAGTCCCAGCCACCCCCCTTACCCCAAAAATAACATGGGCTTTCTTTTTTTCTTTTAGTGTTGACACAGTAACGCTCACCGTTTAATTTTCTTCATTAACTGACACTTCTGTTTTCTCTACCCTTCTTTTAGACCCGAACACAAACACAAACACCACTCTGCTTCCTTCGATATCAACACCCCACATCACCACAGACACTTCGAAGCTTCTTTTGAAAGAGACAGTGATCGTCACCACAAACACTCTGAAGTTAATATCGAACTTCCCCGTCGTGAACATCATCACCATCACCACCATCAACGCCGTCAATCTTCTGAAGTAGACTTTCAACTTGAACGTCAACGTCAACCTCGTCACTACGAATCATCTGAAGTTGATACTCAATTCTCTGCTCCTCAAAAGAGTCCTACCGAGACAAACATCGACTTCGTTGAACGCCAATACCGTTCCCGAACCCAACCCAGTTACAAGGAAGACACTGTCATTGTCGACCCTCCCAAATCCCGTGTATCTGAACCAAGATACATTGAAGAGACTCGTGTAACTGAGACTACCATCGTCCCAGCACCTCGTTCAACTCACTCTCACAAAGCCAAGTCAACCTTCCACGAAGAAAAGTTCGAGGAAGAAGTTCGCGTCAAGCAACCTCGCACACCAGCCAGATCTACTTTCACCGAAGAAGTTCGTGAAAGAGAACTTGTCAAGTACACTCCCCCCGCACCTAAATCAACCACTTCAACTTTCAAACCAGTCAATCTCGAAATGGGTTACTACGATGATGAAGGTAAGCTTCCTGTTTGTTTTCTCTCTAACCCCCCACCATGTACCCTAAGCATTCAATATCAGGGAATTATCACTCCCTTCGTGGAGGTTACTACCATGGACACGGGAAAACTTTGAACCAGGACCCAATTGACTCTCTCGATTTAGCCGGCGCCCCAGCCGTTGCTGCTCCAAAGCAACCTGCCAACACCGTTACCATCCCTTGCCACCACATCCGTATGGGTGACCTCTTGATGCTCCAAGGACGTCCCTGCCAGGTTATCCGTATCACCACCTCCGCTGCCACTGGCCAACACCGTTACTTGGGTGTCGACCTCTTCACCAGACAATTGAATGAAGAGTCTTCTTTCATCGCCAACCCAAGCCCAAGTGTCGTCGTCCAAACTATGTTGGGACCAGTCTTCAAGCAATACCGCGTTCTTGATCTCCAGGACCACTCTGGTAAGTTTTATCTATCATCTTCCACACAAGCTTCCAATACTAACGTGAACACAGTCGTTGCCATGACCGAGACCGGTGATGTCAAGCAAGCCATTCCCGTTTTGGACCAATCCAACCTCTGGACCCGTCTTAAGGAGGCCTTCGAAGGTGGACGTGGTAGCATCCGCATCATGGTCGTTGCTGATGGTGGTCGTGAGATCGCTGTTGACATGAAGACCGTCCACGGATCCCGTCTGTAGATTTCCTGTACCAGTCACGATGGCGTCCATCCGGCAATAATCCATTGGCCTTTCCTATATGGGGTTTCCTTTTTGTTTTCATGATTTTTTAGTGCATTTTCGGAGGGAAAATTTGAAACGTATGATGGGGTAGATATGGATTCAGATTGATTAATGAGGGATGAAATTTGGACGATTGGATGTTTTATCTGGTCTATCGGATTCTTTTTAGTTTAACGAAGTATTCAAGTAGGTCCTCGATACCATCTATGGCAATACTACTTTGGTCTGGCATGATGGTAGAGAGAGTCCTTGATGCTGCGGTCTTTTTCTACTTTGTAATTGTGTAAATGGGAAAAGATCCAGAATGCAAACACGCTGCTTGTCTATAACTTGATTTTTTTTACAATGTGATTAATTGAATTCCGCTATGTGACTGGTTTATCGTCCTGAGTAAGGAATGTGTGGTGTTGAAGAATGTTACTTGACCAATCTTCCCAGCCCATGATGATTCAATGTGTCCAATTCCCACTTATGACCAAGGGATCAACCTTAAATTGCCGTATTTAATCCGAGTGGGGGGTCCGACATCTTCAAGTCTTTGAATTCGTAAGAAGTACTCAAACCAAGCAAAGTACCTTGATGGCTGAGCACGGGTATGACTACCTTCTTTATCTAGAATTGCCTGCACATGATACCATTTTCTCATATTCCCCGCCATTCACATAGCTTCTCGAGATAAGCTCAACAGATAAGATAATCACAACATCCTGAGTCCTTTCATTGAATTAATCAATTAACCATTTATCCAAACCTAAATCCATACCGTCTGTTCTGCTCCTATTTTTCGGCTTTTGTCTTCACTTGTAACCTCATCATCTAAATCTTCAAATCTTCCTAGATTTCCTCTTATCCACACTTATCTCTGTTTACATTCTCATCTTCACCTTGTCCATACATACACATCATTCACAGGCATAAAAACATGGGTTTATCGCAATCAACCCCAGGTTCCACTTCTTCCGCAGAAGCCCAACGCATTCTTCTGGAGAAGATACAGAATATGCAGCTTCAAACTGAGGAAGATGATTATATACATGTAAATGAAAAGGGTGCTGCTTTTCAAGCTACTTCGCGAGCTCAGTGGACTCCTCTGAGTGCTGCGAGAGTTGAAAAGTGGGAGGAAGAACTCTTGAGTGATCCTAAGAATCGGTATGCGTGATTACTGTGCCTTCCAGCTGCATTATACTAATATCAACCTCTCTCTAGTCTAGCTCTTAGTGCTCTCAGCAGCGCCGATCCACGAACAGTCCTCACATCCCGTACCACCCTCAACCAAGACCAACAAATCTTCTCCGTCAAGATACCTTTTGAGGGAGCTCCAATAACTAATCAGCGACAA